CATGCCTGCTTACTACACAAGCATATAGGGAACAAAGACAAGAAAAGAGGAAATTCATTCTGCTAAACTCTGTTGACCCCCCAAAAGTCAGGGCTAACTTTGACACTAGTGTTCAGTCAACCTCTGGTGGAGAAGCAGGTTGTGTAGAAAGGTATGTTTGTTAACCATTTTAATAGCTAAAACCTGTCAATGGAGACATTAAAAGCAACCATGTTTCTGAGTTATTGCCTCCGAATACCATAAAAATGCATGTAGTTTACCTTGGGGGAGCTAGTAGGCGTCCCTGACTAGGTATGAGATCAGGGAAAGATCATTCTCTGAAATTGAGGCTGCCAAAAGTCATCACACTCAGTTGTTTCAGTTTTTCTCTTATTAGGAGACTGTAATACATATGATCTGTATTCAAATCAGTCAATATCATTCTAATGTAACCAATAGTACTGTGATATGTGGGGCATAAAATTACAGAGCTTATGGTCAATGAAACTACTAGGAAACTTGAGAATAAGAAGCTGCTAGTACGTACCCAGTACTGTCCAAGGGAGACAATATAATGGCTTTGACTCATGCATTTTAGTAAGAAATAATGTGATAAAAATATTCTTTTAAATAATTAAAAAATGCATTGTATTTCAATATGTCCAATTGAACTATGAGACTAAAACTTAGCTTATAAAATGAAATTTACTTAGGAGAGAGTGGCTAAAGTAAGGAATCAGTTACTCTTTTTTGCAGGAAGTTAAAAATCAACATATTTTTACAGTACTATAGACCAAAAAGGGAAAAAAAAGTAATCACTAATTGCACTTAAATGCAATCTTACACATCCTATTGTAAGTTAATAAGCTGAGACTTTCATTAAATAAACACAATCAGGGTGTGGAGATGTTATATTCAAATTAGCAAATTAAACTCAAGCATTTATAAAACTAAAGCCCACCCTCTTGATTCTTTCAGATTCCATGAAGGTACTAGTTTCTTCATTTAAGACTCTGATTAAACAAACTTTGAGTTAATTATAAATTTATGAGCATTATAGATAATCATGCATATTATATGAATCTTATTGGTACAAACTATAGCTCTGTGATAGATATAAGAAGTCTAATGATTTGTCAGAATCAAGAAAAGACAGATTTTAATAGAAAAGAAAATATCTTACTTGGTTAAGAATGTCTTGTTTCTGTGCATGCAAGAAAAGAAAGAATACATGTGTTAATATAATTTATACTCATTATCTTGTATCTCTGACAATTTAATTAAAAGGTCAAATGTACTGATTGATTTTTAAAACATACCCTAAATCCATGGTCTCAAAATGTGGTTCTGAAATATCAGTATCAACTGCGAAACTGATAGAAATACAATTTTTGAGCACCGACCCAAAAACACTGAATCAGAAAACAAGGGGTGGTGGAGAACAGGCAGCAATCCAAGTTTTATTAAGACCTGCAGGATATATTCCGACGCAAGCTAAAATTTAAGCAACAGTGAATGTTTCAAATTTTGATACAATAAGCAAACATGTCTAATTGATGAGAGAGAACTATAACACAAAAAACATAATTACAATTTTTAGAGAAAATCATGAAATATGAGTCCACATAAAGTTAGATTATGAATGCATATTCCCCACTCCTAATGTCTTCCATTAAAATGAAACATTTCTCTCTCCATTATCTTTAAACACAAATACCTTTTCATATATATGCTACTACTTAATTTCTCCCAACCTCATTAGCTGGTACAAGTTATTGGTACAAGTTAAAATCAAATGTGAAATCCAGGACAAACAAATGAAAAATCCAAACCAACCAGCAAATATGTGCATGCAATGTCAAACTGTTTCTTTCTCATATTATCAAATTCCTCTATTCTCATGAGCTCATTTGTGTCTGAGGTGTCCTTACAGTGTTTTACTGTCAACTACTACAAACTAGTTACTCTTTATATTATTCACATAATAACGCTAGGCATGACTCATGTATACTGCACTACAGCATAGTAGCACAATGTCATCCAATATAAATGAAACACCTTCCTTTCATTATTCTCATGTCCCAAGGCTTTCCCTCTTAGTCTGACTTTGTCAATGAAGTGAAAAAAGGACATCAGGGATTCTAAGAAACTAGACTTTCAAAGTGATAATTGTCATGATCCTAGTTTGTTAATCTTGGAAAAGTCATTGTACTTTCCTTAAAAGTCACTTTCTTTTTTTTAAAAAAACTTGATGTTGGGCCTCCCTGGTGGCCTAGGGGTTAAGTCTCAGCACCATCACTACTGCAGCCTAAGTTCTTTACCTGGCCAGCAAGCAAACTCACATATGGCACAGCAGACCTCTCCTGTCTTATACAATGCTCCCTCAGCAGTGCATTTCAGTAGATCTATCTGTTCTGCTTCCCATTCTTTCTGGTGAATCCTCTCACCCCCCGCACCTCTGGCCTACACTCCAGTTCTTGTATGCATAAATAAATAAAAATAAATCTTGAATTAAATAAAAAATAAAAACCCAATGTTCTTGTTCTTTGGTGAATCCAAGATTTTTTAAAGTTTTTTTTTTTTTTTTGGTATAGACTCTTTAGAGCTATCGTTCAGAATTATAGTTTATGATTCTGTTATTCATTTTTTCAAAGAATGATTATCAAATGATTTTAAAAATAGATATTAAAATTAAATAATTCATCGTATATTGCACTTAATGTTTTTTCACCATTAAATAGACTTCAACAGGTCACCTCTTCTTTAGATTAAGTTTTTATGTGCAGAGTTTTCAAAAGTCAGTATTTCGAGTGAGTGATAACCAAACAATGCACATACCATTTAGGCAGCTTTACTCTGTAAGGGAAAAGCATTTTAAGAGATGTTCAGGGCTCTTCTTTATCTACCAATACTATTTATATGGATATAAACTATGTTCATTTTAGAAAGCAAAGGATTATTTGTTCTACAGATAGATTAATCTTTTATAGCTGACCATCAATATGTAGTCACACATATCAAACAACTTTGGGCTCAACTTACCAAGAGAGACTGATAATTTCACATATGAGTTGATGGGATGGATTATTTCATTTCATAATTTTGGTATAGCCTTCTGTATACTTGGTAAGGTCATTTATTAAAGAGAGCTTCGAGTTCCTAAAGACTTCTTCCTCAAAACTGAATATGCCTATTCCCTACTGACTTTTGTAAAATACATACTAGCATTTAAAAGAGTCAAATAAAATTTAAATTGTTCTTGTGGAGGAAAAATTCCCATCAGTGTTAATATTCAGAGTGGTTTCACTACTAAATTGGAATTACTTTTGAGTCATTAGTGAGATCTAACTTTTTGTTTTTCAACTGTTTATTTAATAATGCATTTCAAGAGATCTGTGTGTTTATAGTTGAATTATATGTTGCTATAGCCTGACATCATATGTATGTCTAATCATGGCCCTAATAATTACCTCCATAAATTCAGTATACATCATCTGATAATCTTCAAAAAATATAAAATATCAGTAAGACGGAGAGTCCTTTAAATATAAAAATCATTGAAGCAAAGAGACTACTTTGCAAACAAGATTAGATTACCACTGAAGTCAGAGCCAGCAGTTGCCTTTAGAAAGAAAAAACTGGTTTCTCTCTGCGTACAAATTAGATAAAGTAGATTATTTCTAGTAGGGTTGAAATATAGATGTTAATGACATTTTCTCAGCAATTCAGTAAAGTTGCAATCTTTACCTTTCCCACTGTGCTTTATTGTTCTTTGAGATTTTCATTTTTCCAAATTTGTCTGCCAACATTTTTTTCTCACTTTACAGTGTCTAGGAAAATACAATGTGAGGAAAATATAGGCCAGATGTCTGCATTTTTTCCATATAGGGAATGACTTTAAATTGCCCTATTTTTTCCCACCATGTGAAGGAAGAACATTTTTTATTTTTAAAAAAGAAATCCTAGGTTAAAGAGCTCTTAAAAATATAATAATGTACCAGTTGATAGAGATAATAAGAGAATATGACATGAAAAATAGCTAATGATGAGAAATACAGAAAAGAAATAATAAAAACAATATGAAAATTTTGAGGTTGTAGTTTAGATACTGAGTTGGGAGAACTAAAATGTAAATTCTGTTAATCCCAGAGAAATACAATAGTGAAGGGTAATCAAGAACTGTGCTCTTGTAAACATTCAAAAACACAATAACAATAATAAGCCAAAAGCAGATGACATTTTAGTCAGCAAACAAATCTATCTAGATGTTCAGAAGAATTCATGCACCAAAAGTGTCCTTTGCAACAAGCAGCATGTTTTAATTCACACAACCCTAACACCACTTGCTGAAGCAAAAGAACTCACAGCATTTAAACTGTACCATCTCTTCATTTCTACTCAAAACAAGATCATTTAACAAAGACTTAGGAAGGGAAAGCATTAATTCAAGCACAGTGTTTAAAAGCAACCAACTGGACATGAAGTTGTTAATAAGGAAAGAATTTTAGGAACTTTTCAGCTCACTGCTAACAGGTTAAATACATACTAGGGGGAAGAAATTCCCCTTTTTGTCCAAGCTAGCTCTTTAAAGTGATAGACAAGCTAAATCCATCCCAGAATATTTCTTTAGTCAAGGCACCAAAATAATAATCACGCTGCCTTACCCCAATGTTCATTTAAGTTAAATTTTGTAGGTGATAGGTTGAGTCAAACATACTTTCTCTCCCTTTCTATCTAAACTGGTTTCCCGACATCTAGAAAAGGAAACTAACACTACATGGTAGAGGATCTGCACTCCTTTAAGCATACGCTACAGCAATGTGACTTTCATGGGCAAAGTTTTTGGATGAAAAAGTTACTACAACATTTTGTATTTTCCAAAATAGAATTTCATTATGCATTGCAGTTTGTTGAGATTACGATTTATGATATATATATTTACAAGAATCGTTCATTAAACAATGGCCCTATCCCCCACAAATATGTATATGAAACTGATATGAAGAAAAGAGAAGTTTTACCCCTTCAGGATTATACTTTGCAAGCACACCATTACCATGGAATTCTTCAAGAACATCCTTTAATTTCTTTGTAGAATCTGTAAGAAATAGAAAACATACATATTTATATATGTGTACTGTGGTTATAGAACCCACTGCAGAAACAAAGTCTTCCTAATAAATAATATATACAAATATACACCAAAAGATATTAAATTTTTAAATAATTATGTAAAATGTCTTTGCCATTTTTGAAAGACTATCTAATTGTCTAACTCACACTTGGAAAAAAGAAATAAACCAAAAAAGCTTGTATTGCTCAAGAATAAGGCCATTGCCTATGTGTTATATGAATGAATGTGCAAATAAATAAATAGTACCAGGTGTTTTTTCTTTATATTGATAAATAATGTCTAAATGAATGAAACAGACTAGTTTAAAAAGATTAAAGATAATTGAAGGAGTGAGATTCTACATTTATGAATCATATACAGAGTTGTAAACCAATATACCTTAATTTAAAAAAGGAAATATAAGCATTCTTTGCTGAATTTTAAAATTTATACTGTTTTATAGATATATAAATACACACACACACATACACTCAGATATATACATATATACTCAGATATATAATATATATTATATATATTATATCTATATCTATATATATCTCACTCCTTTAACCCTGTTGGATAAATAAAAAAGTTGTGCAACTAAGCCTTAATGGTGAGTCGATTCAGAGGTTCTCTATAGATTTTAGTATTTTACAGATAATTTTATAGAAAATTAACTAAATATATCTAAAGCTCAACACTAAAATTTAATTTAATTCAATTAAGAAAACAAGTTCAGATACATTACCAAAAATATTTTAAACTAGATTTTTCAAGTTTTTAAAAATTTTTAGGACTTTCATCATAATATGATGATGACTAAAGAAAATTGATAGGGAAAATAATGTCATGAGAAGAAATATCATAAATATTCTTATATAAACAATTATAGATAGACTCATATAAATGTATGAATTCTGTCAAACACTTCATAGTTATCAAATACAATTTTTGACCTGATAGTCTCAGAATTCCAATTTATTTAAGTTAGAGGAAAACACTACCTAAAAAATATTGATAGGTTCTCTAAATAGTAAATCGGGCTTGAATCTCAGTGGTAAAACGAACTTAAAATCAGGATGATTTCTAGCATATGTATACAATCCTTCCTGTTTTCTGCAACTCAGTATATTTAAACTACCACAGAATAGTTTCCACATCCAAAAAAACCTAAAAAAAAATCAGCTTTTGAAAAACACCCTTTTGAAAATTCACTCATAGATGCCCATCAAGTGAGTCATACCTATATTTTGTGAATTATAATTTCATTTGGTATATGCAATTTTTGTTACTATATTTTGTAAACTTGGTAGGGTTTCTGCATATGGCTGCATTTATTTATTGTGATAAAATTCACATAAGATAAATTTTTCACCACTATAATCACTTAAAAGTTTACAGTGGGCTTTTTTAGTATATTCACTATACTGTGTAACTATCACCACTGTCTAATTTGAAAACTTTTATATCACCCAGCCCCCCAAAAAATATGTATTAAATAGACACTCCTTCCTTATCCTCCTCTGTAGGTTTTGACTATTTCTAATCTATTTTCTCTGTCTATGGACTCACCTATTCTGCATGTATCTTATAAACAGAGGAATTTTATCATATATTACCTGATTTTTGTTTTTTTTTTTTTGCTTAGAATAGTATTTTCTAGTGCCTGTATATTGATCGAGGTATCTGTACTTTTTCTTTTTTTAGTTGCAAAATATTCCATTTTATGGATATAACACATTTTGTCTATTAATTCAATCTGCAGATGAATGATTGAGTTGCTTTCATGTATTAGCCACCATGAATAACACTACTATGAATATTCGAGTATGCCTGTTTTTGTGCAAATACATGTTTCAATTCTCTTAGATATATAACTAAAAGAATACTTGCTGGGCCATATGTTCAATCTATGTTTTACATTTTGAGGGACTGCCCAACACATTTTCACAGGGCTGTACCATTTTCATCCCCACAAGCAATACATAAGGTTTCCAATTTCTCCACATCTTCGCCAACATTTATTTCTAGCATTTTAATGACAGCCATCCTAGTGAATATTAAACAGGTTTTGATTGGCATTTTATTATGCACTTTCTAATAATTAATCATGTTGATTATTTTTTCATGTGTGTATTGGTCATTTATACATAACCTGTGGAGAAATGTCTATTCAAGTCTTTGTTGTTGGGTTTTTGTCTTATTGGGTTTTTGTCTCTTGTTAAAATTTTCTGGGCTCTGTGTGTGTGTGTGTTAAAATATATATTTTTTAAAGTCTGTACAGTTTTATATGTATTTCTTTTTCTGTATATATTTTACTGGCACTTTCCATTCTGTGATAAAAGTTAACTTGTTATGTTGTGTCATTTGCTAGACTATATGTTGCCCTAGGGAAGAAAATGCACATTTTTATTTTTGCACAACATTCAAGTTTATTACAAAGCTGAAACAATACAGTTGCAAATATTAGGATTGATTTAATCAGAGCTATTCCAAAATTACAACAAATTACAGTAATTGCTTCAACATATACCTTGGCAAAAGCTTACACTACCGCAGAGATCAGATTCTATATTAAAAAGAGCCATGAAGCTGATTCCTAACTCCAAATATTTGTTTTTTTGTGGCTGATATCTAAGTTAAGAGAACATCTTTTGCTTTTTCTTGTTTATAAAGCAGATGCAGACCCGAGAGAGACATACACACATATTGGTACATAAACTCTGGAAAAACATACCCCAGTGGACTATGTTTATTTTAACTATATCTTGGATCACATGGATTAAATTAAAGGGGACAGTTTGGTTTCTTATACATAGAACTTTCTCAGAACTTTAGAGACACTGCCTAACGGTGGGTTTTACATTTCCATTTCTATGAGTGTAAAGAAAAAAATCCATTATTTATAAATGCTCCAAAGACAACAGATCTTTAAATTATTCATATCACTTTTTTAGTGGTTTAATGGGCATCATTTTTATCAAAATATTCCTACTAAGAACACCACTAGGAATACATAAGTAAACAAAAGTCAAAATCTCTTTATCTGTGACTGTCTTCTCAATGATGATCTTGGTCTGAGATAATTTAAGAAGTTCTATTTCATATCCAAATGAATCATCAACTCAACTTACTCCTTCTACAGTTCTCAAGTTCCACTTCTAATATCTTTACATCTGAATTTAGCTCACAATCCAAATCTCACTTCACAATCGAGTTTTAAAACTGTAGTGTTATCTGTTCTACCTGTCTCAATAACCTTTCTTTTTTTTTAATTAATAAATTTTATTTTTATATTCCCCATACAATTGCAATCCCCCCATTCTGACCCCAATCCCTCCCCTCCCGCCCCCCACCCCCAAAAAGTGTCTCTGGTTCATAGTTTTTGTTGATTTTGATTTTCACTTTCTTATAGTTATTCATTTTCCTGGTCCCTTATTTAAGTTTTCTAGATCCCTGCTATGAGTGAGACCATCCGGTATTTTTCTTTTTCTTTTTGGCTTATTTCACTGAGCATGATCCCTTCCAGCGTCATCCATGTTGCTGCAAATTGCATGTGTTTATCTTTTTTGAATGCTGAGTAATATTCCATGGTATATATGTACCACATCTTCTTGATCCAGTCATCTATTTTTGGGCATTTGGGTTGTTTCCAAAGCTTAGCTATTGTAAACAGTGCTGCTATAAACATAGGGGTGCAGGTGTTCTTTGGAATTGATGTTTCTGTGTTCTTTGGGTAAATACCTAGGAGTGGAATTGCTGGATCCTGTGGAAGCTCTATGTTTAGTAGGTCCAGAAATCTCCACACAGCTCTCCATAGTGGTTGGACCAGTTTGCACTCCCACCAACAGTGCAGAAGAGTTCCTTTTTCTCCACAACCTCGCCAACATTTGTTGTTGCTAGTTTTTTTAATATGTGCCATTCTCACTGGTGTAAGATGGTATCTCATGGTAGTTTTGATTTGCATTTCCCTGATTGCAAGTGATGTTGAACATTTTTTCGATAACCTTTCTTGAGCCTAGTTTCTAAGACTGAAGGTTTCCCTGACACAGTCAGTCTTCTGTAAATGGAGATTTTTGTATGAATCACCAGGAGGTTTTCAGATATCCTAACTGGGCCCCATAACCTTTAAACAGAATTTACTTATGTGAACTGTCTACATATCTGCTTCGATTCCCAAACTGTACTAGATTGTGAAATTCTTAATGCTGTGATCTACCTATCTTCATGAAAGAATACAGCCTTTCCTTTTTAAATTCAGCTACTTTCCCTGATTTGTTCCTATTACATATCACTATAAACATTCCTATCTTTTTGATTATGTCAATTCTAGATCATATCTGTCTAAAACGAATGATATAGTGGGGAGGAGAAAGGTTACATGACTGGAACTGACCTTCCCTCTAGTAATAGACACCAGGGGAGTGACACCTGAATGAACAGACAGAAAGTGAGTGAAAGACATAGTCTCAGTCATATTTCAGTTAATATTGGAGTGTCAAGTAAAAGAGCACAGTGACAGATTCTGGGCTAAGCAATGCTGAGAAATCCAGGCAGGCAGCCAGGAAGCAGGCAGCCGTGAGCTGTGAGATCGATTCACAGTTAATACATATTTGCAATGGGACAAAAGTCTGGTGTCCTGGAAGACTGGCCAGTGAAGTGCCGGGAGGCCAGGTTCAAACAGCTGTTTTAGTCCTTAGCATAAGAGATCAGGACAGATTCTCAACATAAGATATTGGTTGTCCTAGAAAGCAAAGGAGGGCAGTAACTTGGGGCAATTCTGAAACACAGGGATGCTTCCAGAGTTATTGGTGCTTGGGGAGGTGAAAAAGCAGAAGATTTGGAAAACAACATTTGCTACCAATTACTATCCTTTGTCTAACATATCTCTTATCATGATGTAATTTAATATTAATAACTACAACAGAGAGAAGGGGATCACTTAAGGTTGTTTTATCCATCATCATCGAGGTGGTGTTGAG